TGGGTATCCTGCTCTGGGTGGCCCTGCCTTGGCAGGGGGTTGGAATGGGTGATTTCCAGACCCTTCCAACCCAGATCATTCTGTGATCCTGTGATTCTGTGAAGGCTGCAGCAACAGTCTCAGACCATGGCCTCAGGAAAATGCCACACTGCTGCTGCTGCTCCTCACTTGCTCACAGCCCAGAAGGTTGCTCTGCTGTCTGCACTCAGATTGTGCCTTATTATTCCAGGGAAGATAATTGGGATGCTGTTTTCCTACTTGCCCACATGCTGCTGAGAAAAGCCCTTGCTTCTTATTCTCCAAGCATCCAGCACTCATCACCAGGCTCCTAATGTACTTCAATATAATAGGAATGGAGAGAAAGGGAAAATGGGGTAATAACATTAGGAGCTCCTTTTGCACATCATAAAATTTGTAACAAGTTCAGCACCTAAACTTCTGTGGAATAAAAGAAATATTCAGTGCTCTTTCCATCCTTCCTCTTGCTTTTCCTTGCCTTTCCTCATGGTGGAAAGGAGATGACAGAAGACAACCAGATCAGAGGTATTCTTCCAATGGTTTGGTTTCACAGACTGTTCCTTATGCACCACTCGTCTTCCTTCCGATCTCCAGGGGCAGTTTCAGGTGGCTTGTCCTGTTTTCTATCAGCTCAGCACTCAAAGAGCCCATCCATGTGATTTAAAGACATGAGATGTAATCAGAACACAGCTGTAAGAGCTGGGAGTTTTTCAGTCAAACCATAGTAGGAAGCATTGCAGCAAGCTCTGCACCACCTTTCTCCCCACCTCTGTCACCCTCAAGGTTAATTGCATGCACCAGGGCAGGTTTCTATCCACAAACATTCATGTCAGACTTATCTGAATCCACCTGCCTTACACTTAGTCTAGATGGTTTACTTTCAGGAAAAAAACATAGGAAACAGCATGGCAAAAGCAGCAGCAGGGTTGGGAGCCTCTGGGTGATAAGCCAAGGGCACTGGAAGTGACAGATTTGTGTTTAGCACTGTCCTGGGTTCAGCAGTAGCAGTCATTTTTCCCCTTCTTGGTAGCTGGTGCAGTGCAGTGTTTTGACTTTCAGCTTGGGAACAGAGCTGATAGTGATGTTTAGGTTTGGCCAAAGACTTTGTGAGCCTCATGCTCTGCCAGGGAGGAGGGGAAGCCAGGAGGAAGTAGAGACAGGACACCTGACCCAAACTGACCAAAGAGGTATTCCATACCACAGCACGTCATGCCCAGGATGTAACTGGGAGTTAGCCGGAAGGGCTGGGAGACTGCAGGGTTGGAGGAGGTATCGGTCGGAGCTTGGTCGGGCTGGGGGGGGCAAGTTATCGGTCGGCTGGTGGTGAGGTGTTATATTCTCTTCCCTTGTTATTTCCTTTATCATTATTATCATTGGTGGTAGCAGTAGTGATCTGTGTTATACCTTAGTTACTAAACTGTTCTTATCTCAACCCGTGGGAGTTGCATTCTTTTCGATTTTCCTCTCTGTCCCTCCGAGAGCAGGGGGAGGGCAAGAAAAGGGGGGGAAGTGAGCGAACGAATTACCTGACTGGGTTTAAACCACGACAAGCACCCACCAATGACAAGCCTGCTTTAAGTGATTTGGACAACATCGTGTATAGATGCAGTGGCAGGAGCAGGTATGCCATCCCACAGCTGAATTCCTAAGGCACCATGTAATCTTCTTTCTCGTAAGCTCCTGCCTCATGGGCTGTGTTTCTTCCAGCTACAGGAGCACTTGGGTGAGGACTCTGCAGCCAAGAGCTTGCTTCATAATATAGCCTTCATTAATTTTAACAGCAGAGACATCCTGTGCACTACATGAGAATGGGGACTTAGGGAAAAAAATAGCATTGTCATTTAATTAAAGATGGATCACAATAATAGAATCTGCACAAAGGGACTGGCGTGAGATTGCAAAGAGAACCTTAACCGTGGAGTTCTTCCTCTTTGACTCTGAGTGTCTGAGTTTTCCATCTCAACACAATCTTTTTAACAGCTTTGTCATGTAATTTCCTGTTTTTAAGAAAAATAATTAGGAAAGACTGAGGTGCTATCGTTCAGCTTCACACTGCCACCTGTATGTGCCATCAGCAAAGCTGGAATCTCTTCTGAGACTCTTCTCACTTGGCCTGAGGGATTAACTGATAGTGATGATACATTGCTCTCAAGCCTGCTTGTTGCAAGCCAAAAATGAGGGGAGCTTGGATAAAGCCCTCTCCTCTGTGGCCAGCATAGAATCAACTAGGTTGCAAAAGACCTGTAAGATCATCAAGTCCAACCTTTTGCATGTGCAAACAGCAGCTTGTCAGAGGCCTAGAAGTTAAGTAAATTTTCTTTGACAGGACAGTGATATGAGACCTTCAGTCCCTGTTTCATATGAAGGGCACTGCCAGTGTTTTCTAAGGACAAAGTTGCCAGCCTTTTATTTTTCTGTGGGTGAAACCCCTGTTCTTCATTATATTTGGGAGAGCTGAAATGTTTCAGCTGAAACTACCTATCAAAAAACCCAAAGAAAACAAAACAAAAAGTAACAAGCCACACTTTAGAAGACATCTGAAGACAATTTCATGCCGAACAGCCAAAGGTTGAGAGAAATTACACAAAGCTGGAAACAGGACCTTCTCATCCCAAACACTGGATGCCTTTAATAATCAACAGCACTCCCCAGTTGCTCACGTTTCCCCTGGCAGGCAGGGGATAATCATCCTCACTTCTTTCAGCAAAGCCTTTTAGACCTACTGGTGAAAATGAATAAACTGTCATCATCACCAGTCCTACCGACAGGGATTATTAATATTATCTGGAAGAAAAGCAGGGCTTTGTTCACACACAGGATTTCCTAACAATGAACCTATGTGCAATATCCCATACGTAAGAGCAGAGTTTCCCTTTTCGGCTGGGCTGACAAGCCTGTTGCAGTCAAGGCTCTGCCCCATGGGCAGCTGACGGTAGGCTCCAGCACTGCCATCAGCCACTTTAAGCACCACTTTATGCTGCTGTGAACAACCAGGCTTGGTGCAGACAGTAGTGACCCATGCCACCCTACCAGCACCCTAAATACATACCAGTCAAGATGTAGATCACTTGTAAAGAAACACAGAAGTAGGTGCAAATAATAGAGGCACAAAGCACCTTGAGAGCAAACAAGCATTTGTGTGTAAATCATTAACAAATGTGTCTTAATTCTGTTTCCAAGATGATTCAAACATTATTGTTTCTGTGGCTATACAAATCCTTTGCTTTCTTTACAGTGCTTTTAAATTCAACAAAACAAGGGAAAACTGCTCAAGTTCAAACTTCCTGACACCATTGTCAGTTTACTTCCATGAAGCTGGACGCTGAATATTATGAAACAGCTCAGAAATGCTGGACAAAAAAATAAGATTTCCTTTTTTCCCCTTCAGCTGAAATATCTTTTGGCAATAAATCCCCACTGGAAATGTGCTTTCCCTGATTCCCTGGCTTAATTAGCTCAAACAATGTAAGATATGTAACACTGACCACCATGGGAAACCTGATAAAAAAGAACAGTGATACAATGCAAGCCTTTCAAACAGAAGCAGCCAGTACCCTGCAAAGACAAAAGTGGATTCAGTGCAGTGTGGAGCCTTTTCTTCCTTCGCTGCTGCATGAGACACCAGCACTACAGTGCGACAAGTTAATCTTTGACATGTTTTCCCCCAGTAGTGATCTAAAATTGTCAGTTCCTCTGTAGCACATCAGTAGTTTCATCAAGGAAGATACAGCAACTAATGCTGCAGCTCCCTGGCACTTGGGATGTGTTTGCTGCATTGCCGTAGGGAGAACCATGAGAAGACTGACCCCAAAACTGGCTGCATATGTGGAAAGGAGCAGTGCTTGGGGTTGGCAAAGAGCATGACCTCACATGCTCCTCTCAGAGAGATCTGAGGCTGCAGACTCCTCTGGATTTCTTTCCTGGGTTATATCCTGCGCATCCCTACGCCCTGTCCTTGCTGGGCACTCTATCCCACCCCTGCATCATCCTTCAGCAGTGGTTTCTGCAGACAGGCAGTACGCAAGAAGGATGTGCTGACACTGATTGCCAGTATCCTTTTTCTTCTTGCTTTTCCTTGCTGCCTTACTGTTAGTGGGGCAAGTTCTCAAGTGCCAGTTCCTGCTCAGCTTTGGGGTACTGCAGTGGCTGCAAAGCTGAAGGAGCACTGCATGCAGTCCTGATGTCCCTGACATAAGAAGGACATGGAGCTGTTGGAGCAAGTCCAGAGGAGGCCACAAGGATGACCAGGGACTGGAGCACCTCCTGTATGGAGACAGGCTGAGAACATTGGGGCTGTTCAGCCTGGAGAAGAGAAGCTGCGTGGAGACCTCAGAGCAGCTTCCAGTGTCTGAAGGGGGCTACAAGGATGCTGGAGAGGGACTCTTCATCAGGGACTGTAGTGATAGGACAAGGGGTGATGGGTTCAAACTGAAACAGGGGAAGTTCAGGTTAGATCTAAGGCAGAAGTTCTTCCCTGTGAGGGTGCTGAGGCGCTGGCACAGGGTGCCCAGAGAAGCTGTGGCTGCCCCATCCCTGTCAGTGTTCAAGGCCAGGTTGGACAGGGCTTGGAGCAACCTGGTCTAGTGGAAGGTGTCCCTGCCCATGGCAGGGGGTTGGAACTGGATGATGTTAAGGTCCTTTCTAACACAAACCATTCTGTAATTCTATAGGGGTGGAAGATCAGGAGCATGAGCAGTGGGAGAGCAAAAATGATGGTGCTGCAAGAGCCACTAGCATCACAGGTGGTGGTAGCAGCAAGGAATGCAGCCTGTCCTGCAAACAAGCAGAATGGGGACCTCACTTAGGTCAGAACAAAATTAATGTGCAGTCAGGGTCTGGATTTGTGTCCACAGTGTGGATAGTCCCAGCATTCATTAAAGCTGCTCTCCCCTGGTATTGTTAAAGATGCCAAAGGAGAAAAGATGCAATATGCTTCTGCCTATTTTCCCATTTAGAGTTTATAATTGCCAAGTTTAGACATATTTATAGGCTTCCTTTTTCTTTTCTTTTCATTAAAAGCTTGAATCTTATCACTTCTCTTCCCCAGAATACTCCAAGCCAGACACCAGAGGACCGGCAGGATTATAATGTCACAGGGACACATGTAGGGAAGTGCAAGTGAAATAGGAACAGGGATTTCTTAGTCAGAGCATTTATAGTTTGCTGATGCTTTTGGTGTTGACATTACCTGTGTAGCTCAAATGCCTTGCAGGAGAACAGCAAAACGACTTTGGCCAGGTCCACCTGGCACAGCTCTGTTGACTCAGCAATGTCTGTCGGGGACATGAAACTGGTCGTGGAGCCAGCCTCCATCCATGTATGGTGTGTTGGGGCCAGACACACTGTCAGGGCTGTGCTTTACTAGCTCAGCTTGTTCCACTGGCACATGGGTCTGCTGCTGGAAGCCTGTTCCCTGCCAGCACAGCCCTCCCCATGTACATCTGGCCCTTCAGAAAACGTGAGAAAGCTCTGAATCTGGAAGAATTCCTCCATGAAAGCTTCTAGACAAAACAGAGAAAAGGCAAATCCAACCATCTCAGGCTCTAATGACTTGTATACTCCTACTATTGTACCAAATGAAGTTAGGAAAACCCAACAGCAATCTCTTGTGCTTCCTTATGGAAAACCAAAGGTCACTGGCTCACTTTTCTCCTGTGGGTTGCCTTTGAAGCGTGGGTGCCACTGGTGCACCACAGGGCTCCATGTAGAAGGCTCTATTTGATCTAAGTCTGTCGGTGGCTAGCTCTTTTTGGCATCTCTGGTTATCACCTTTGCATTACGAGGCTGGCTGCGATCTGATCGATCTGTTCAACAAATCAGATTCATCCCTCTGGCTCTGCCAAAACTCGAGTGTAGCCCTCAGTTGGGTAAAGCACAGACACTCCAGCTTTATTTATATTAATGTAATTATAGCTAGACCAATATTGAAATGGCCAACTTGAGCTGCAGGCAAAATAAACAAATGCTCCTTTGGTGATCAGTGCATAATGGGTTTTTTTAATTACAGCCTGCATGCCAACTGTAGACCATACCTAGAGAACGTGGCAGGCAGTTCTCACAGACAGTAAATGTCACTCATTTTCCAATATATCAAAATGAGAGAGCCTACAGAGGATGAAATTATTTTATGCAACAGGTATGAAAGAATTTCATACACCAGGTATTATATCTCAGTCCCCAAAAAGTCATTGGCAAAATTGCTACTAACCAGCAGACACAGCAGTTCAGTCTAGGCAGGGTATGTGTGTAAAGTAAGAAGCCTAAGGAAAGAGAAAAGAAATATCAGGAGCATACAGGAGATTACAAAATCTACCATGTCTATCATGAGTGTTGGGCAGCCACATGCATCCTGCATCTCATTGTCTGAATTAGTCCCATATGAGGCTGCAGCATCACTTGTAAGAAGATCCCAATTCATGGAGTCTTACAGAGCTGTTATTAGGTAATGTTTACTAGGCACAGCTGTGCTTAATTTCTGCCTATATAGTCATTGGTTTTGGCAGAGATTTTGAAGATGCTCCTCCTATCACCACAATTCTGGAAACAAAAGTTGCATGAGAAGACAAAGATGCAGCACTCCTCCTTCATCTGGTTTTCCAGCCAGGCAACCGACTACACTGCCAGTAGAATAACACCAAATCCCTGGGTTTATGCTGGTGTGAACATTTTCTTTGGCTTGCCTCCAGAGGGGTAACAGTCTTCTTGGGATTTGGGTCTGACTGTTCACTGTTTTCTCAAAAAGAGTTTCCTCAGGGTTCTGGTTTGGAACTTCTGAGGCTTTGTATCTGGAGATCTTACAAGCATCTGTCTTTGGGTGACACACACTCCATTTACTGGGAATCTGCCACCCTTGCCCCACACATGCACACAGTTTCAGGCAGGAAGCACTACTTCTGGGAAATTTACTGCTACACAGGCACACAACAGTTGTGTTTGAGCAGTCACACAGCTGTGGGGTGAAGCAGACATGCAGGGCACATGGCAGATGGTTGGACACCTCTTGCACAGCAAAACCCCTGCATCCTGTTGCTTACATACAGGGTGGCTCCGTACCTCAAGTTCAGTGAGTTCATCTGGGCCTGGCATGCCTGGAGCTGGTGGAACAGCTCACGCTCCAAATCACTGCTCAGCACATTGTCACCAGGCTTCCCATGTACCTGGCATGATGATTCCATTAAGCCAAGATCTTCAGGCTGGTGCCTGGTGTTCCATTGGCTCAAGCTCACTTGAACAGACACCTCCAGAAAGGCAGCTCAGGAAGGTAATGAAACACAAGCCAGAAAAAAGTGTGCTTACCTGGGGCACTTCTGCCAATGTAACAGAAATATGCACAGGGCAACTTCACTTCCACCTGATCCAGGTGGTTGCACAAAATGGAGAATGTCAAGAAAGACTGTGGGTACCTGGAGGGATAGTAAAATATATGTAAGAAATAGGTTCTGAAACTAAATAACATGTATCAGTATTTAGCCACTGCATTACATGTCGTGATTTTGCATTCAGAAGAATTCCAGTTGTTTTCTTGAAGTCTGCAGTTGGCTAAAAGAAGATAAACTCTTTGGCTCATTTTAACTGACTGTGTTTTGGGGAAACTTTAGTATTTCAGTACTTCAATTCTCATGAGTTTATATTTATAGAAAATAGTCAAAATGAAGATCTATTACAACTTGCAAATAGACTTTCTGGAGATACAGGTGCTTTCATTAGCCTGGCATACTTACAATCTTTATTTACCACACAGCCAGCAAAAACATTCAGCTTGCTGGGAAGGTGCAGACAGCACTAAAGTTACTTAATAACTGTTCTTCTGGTTATAGAACTACAGTACTGGTACTGAAGGAGGCAATGGTTGGTGTAGTTACAAAAGAAGGCCTCTCTAAAACCAAAGATCCTAGCTGAATTCTTTCTCTCTCATTCATCCCAAAGGGAAACCCAAGGTTTCACGTGAGCTATGACTGCAGATGTAAAATAGCTTGGCCTCTTCTCCATGTGAAGAAAGACTTATCCTGTCCCTGTAAGATTATGGTCTGTCCCTAGGTAATCACTGAGCCTAAACTCAAAAGATGGCCATACAAGACTGACACATCAAGGAACAGGCTCTACTGACATCCCAGGGAGTCAGTCCAAAGTGTCTAAGCTGAACACCCCAATCAGGGCTATAAATTATGTGTCTCATGTCCATGGTATATATACATATAAACATATGTAGCTATTTTCTGTTGCTGCTAGCTTCCACACCTTTTAGCAATTAAATCTTCCACTTTGAATTGATAGGTCCCAAAATCTGATGAGAAAAAACGAAGAATACAATTGACAAGATTCAGGGCCCTGGGCCTATACGGTGCCCCCTGCAAGCAAGATGTTAAACCCCAATGACATCTCAGCATGGACTGAAAGATGGACCTGTGCAAGCTTCATTCCCCAGCTCAGATCCAAAACCAGTGCAGCAGTCACTGCCTTATGGCATTGTACTGATGTCAGCAGACAGCAACTTTATTTAAAGCAGGGCTCTCATTCACATTCATTGAGTAAATGTTGTTCTTGCCTTCCAGCTGTTTGTTACCACCCGTCTGCTGGGCTACAATCTCTTGACAAGACAGTCGACAGGAGGGAACCAGTGTCTGAGCCACAGCCATTAGAATTCAGACACTGCACAGTCTAGCACCTTAGCATGAACCCTCCCTTCTCGGTGGCTTGAGCTTAATACACAGTGAGTTACAAGCTGGAGTGCCTGAGGGGTAGGTACATGCTCCCCACTATTATTCCTGTAATGGAGATTGCATCCAGAGGCTGCTGTCCCTGCTCTTCAGCCCTGCACCATGTTTTTACCTCACATCATTCCAGTTCACATGTGTTGGTTCCCATCCTCTATCAGACCTTCCTCCCATGGGCTCTCATCCACAATGTCCACAGTAGCACTCCCATGTGTTTCCAAGCACCAGGCTTGCTCTTCAAGGAGACTTTTGACAACTGCATTAAAAAATGAAAACTCAGGCCAAGTACTTCATGGTTTTGGATGCTGCCATATCTTTTGTAGCCATTCCTACAGAGTGGCAGGGAGTACTTTTATTATGGAACTCACATTTGGGTTTTAAATGTTCTTTCCATTTCTCCACATCAAGCTGGTATTACTACAGTTTGATTATTGCAATATATTATTGTGGCTAATTATTACTTGGCTGTATTTGTTATTAGGTTCATCACTGCCTGGAAACGTCTGTGTTAGATTTAGTGTGGATAAATATCAAAAGATTTGGATATTCAAAACGTTTCCAAAAGTTTTAAATATGCAAAATTGTCTCTATTCCTGGAGAGGAATGGAAGTTAGCATACGAAGGAGGAATAATCAGTCCAAGTAGGGCAAATTAAAGGACAGATTCTAGTACCTCCCATCTCTGGGAGAATTTCCTTAAAACTGAGACACAGCATCCTGGGGAGTCTGTTTCTGCACAGCTTGTGTTAATTTAAAGCGTTTGTGTTGCATCGTTACCCTTTATCATCAAGCTTTCTGTAATGGTCAGTGTTACATATCTCAAGCTCTGTGAGCTAATTAAGTCAGGAACTGCAATTTTTGGAGTGATACAACAGATTATTCCCACAATAGCATTCCCACAGGATTGCATCATCTCAGACTCTGGCTGTACTTAGGGAAAAAGAAAAGTAAGTTCATTTTTGAAACTGGGTCTAGTTTAAGTCCTCACCCAGACATCTGTGTGAAGCCTTCTCTATAGAAGGAACTGGGGAAGGGGGAAGCCCTTTTTTGGGAATCTTGGAGTAAAATACCTGTTGATGGTCAACTCTTTTTAGCACAGTCTCATTTAACTCCCCGGGACAAAAGCTAAGTGACAGTGTTGGAAGTGCCGTAGACAACGGCCAAGTGCATGTCCTTCCACCAATCCCATGAATTAATCTGAAGTAGAAGAAATTTTGGTGCCAGGAACATACCTACCTTCTAAAATGGAGCTGAAATGTGGATTATTTGTGTTTCAATATATCCAGACAAAGCAGCAAACTCTGTTCAACTTCACAAGGGCAACTTTAATGAATTTTCCCTCTAGGTACAAAAGAGTGGAGAACTCTTACCTGCATGTCAGACACTTTCTTTTTCTGCAGTACTTTTGAAACCAACAACATTTGCGTACCTTATTTCAACTTTTGCAAGAACTGGACAAAATTGCTTCACCCATTAGAGAATGTGTGGTTCAATTGGATTCATTTTTCAGTGCACATCAGTGGTAAATTTAGTTTAAAATACTTTACAGGTACCATAGCCAAATATAGCATCCTGAATTAAGAATGAATTATAATTACTAGACTACAGTTTTCTCCCAGTCAATCCTACACCTATCCTGAAGAGTGCTCCCATACTTGTTTTCCTTGAGACTTAATGATTGTATACCCTAAATATGCCATTTTCTACTTCTCATTTGGCTATAAATAAAGGTTTAAAGGATCTCTTTTCTGGATTATTAAGGAGAAGGTTTACAATTTCTAAACTGTAAATATTTCTGAAGACATTTGTTAAGCTGAAAAGAATAATATTGCCATTATTTCTGCTGCTGATGGCAGAGGGATGGAATTTAAATTCAGATATGTTGGTAATTGTCAGTTCTTTCCTCCCCCTTGAAAATCAATGGAAATTAAATCCATAACTTGTAATCCACATTTAGAATTGTGCTTAATAGCTGATGACATGATATATGACCTATGGGGAGCAAATAACAGAAGGGCTCTCAATTTGAAATTCAAGCCTAGACATCTAGAGAAAATAATCCAAAACTCAGTTATTCCACAGAAGGGAAAACGAGGAAACTAATGCTGAAAGAAGTCTGAGGGTGATAGTAGAGAGCACATTAAATGCAACTGAGCAAAAAAGGAGAAAGGGAAATTTTTTGGCTTCAGATTCAAAGACATCACCTCCTGGAAAAGGGAAGAAAAGATTCCACTCCATATGGCTTTGGTGTGACCACAGTAGGAATACTAAATTCACTCCTGGGTACCTTATTAGCATCTAAAAGGGCAGGTTCAGTGAAGAGCAACAGTAGTGTCTAAGGGGTTGTCTAGGCTGACTTTTAAGGAAAGATTAAAATAGTTTAGGGGTGTACTGGGGCACCTTTTATTCCCGTGGAGTAGCACTTCAATTCTTATTCCATCCTTTCCCCTACATTTTAATAGGCCTACTTACAAAGCAATATATCATGGGCAAATGTGCAAAAGTCTGGACCTCAAGATATATGTATTGGCTAAGCAATGAAGAGAGGAAGTTCCAATAGACATCTATGTATGTCAGAAGGGCTGTTAACACCAGTGGGCATAACTTGCAAGAGGATGATATTTTTAAAGGAAAAAATGTAAAAGAAAATGAAAACTTATCGACAGGTCTGTTAGGGTATTGATTACTCTCATCAATGAAGTGATGCATTTCTTGATACATTTTAAACTATATTTGCAAAGCATAAGCAACTGAACTCAGGAGAGGAATCCTGCACTGGACAGAAGATGGACTAGATGGCTTAACGGGTCTCTCTTATTTCCACTTGCATTGACTCAGAAACTTTAACGAGAGACAGGAAGTTACAAGACAATCTGGTAATAAACATGCACCACTGTCTAATGTATTATTTGGCCAGAGCCCAGATAATTCCTGAAGTGCACCTCAGGGCCTCATCATGACTCCAGTGCTAAATATCTTACAGTCCCACCTCTGCTTGGCTGTGAAACATCACACAGTGTAAACAAGAAATCAGTCGGTAATCCTGAGCAGAGGTCTCTAATGGTAGTGTTAGGGAGATTATCTGGATCTGCTAGAAATACTGTTTAGATCAGCTTTGTTCTGGGTTTAAGTCTACTAAAACCTCCCCAGGACTGTTATTTTCTAGGAATCAGAATCACAGAACCATTATGGTTGGAAATGACCTCTGCAGATCACCCAGTCCAACCCCCTACCAAGGCAGGGCACCCAGAGCAGGTCACACAGGAACATGTCCAGGTGGGTTTGAATGTCTCCAGAGAGGGAAACTCCAGAACCCCCTGTGTAGCCTGTTCAGTGCTCTGACACCCTCAGTGTAAAGAAGTTCTTCCTCATGCTGAGTTGAGACTCGTTGTGTGTTAGTTTATGGACATTGCTCCTCGTCCTGGCTCAGGGCACCACTGGAAAGAGTCTGGCACCATCCTCTTGGTGCCTGCCTTTGAGACATTTCTATCTCAAAGTCATAGAGCCATAGAGTTTCTCTGACGTGCCCTCTTCCACTAGCATCTTCCCTTTCCTCCTTACTCAGGCCCAGGGCTTCCATCAGGAGGTGGATCATCACCACTTCAGTCAGGGAAAAGAAGTTCAGATCCTGATGGAGGGATCTGACAGCCTTTGATACTGCAGACATCCAGCAGTTAATACATTCAATACTGGCCAAGTAGGGCTCCTACACTGACCCCCTGCATCCCAACTGCACCCCATCACTGGGTGCTCATCATCTCCCCAGGATGGCCTTTCTTCTCCAGGGCTCAAGCAGGCTTTGCTAGCAACTTCTGCATTTTGGCAGAATGGTTTATTTTCCCTTCAGAGGTCATTAAATCTCTATCGATCTCAAGCAATTGGTTTTTCACACTAGGCAGACTTTGGTATAAATTACTGATAGGGGATGTGATTTTGGATCCCCATCCAATGCACTGAGCAGCCAATTTTGAGTACATATTTTTCCTGTTCCTCTTGTTACAGTCCCCACACAATGACAGCAGCAGCCCTGCTTTTCTGCAGAGCTGAGCATAGGTGATTTCCTTACCCTGGCCTCATCAGGAGAAGCCATTTCAGATTTATTCATTCTCCCTCCTCTCAATGCAAATTTACTCTTCTCTCTCCCCCTGCCCTGAAAAAAACATGCATATTAAAATTTCCACCTTCTAAAAATAGGCTCAGAATAAAAGGCGATCGATAGATTTTTAAACTCTTGCTTATTTCTTAACTGCTTTAAGGCAACCTGATCGTGTCTCTCAGCTGTGAAATTAACTATACTGGGAAACTCTGATTCCCTAAAGAAGAAGGTTCTTTCTGTGAAATGGAAATAGTGCAGTGAGCTTCTTTTTTGTTTTCCACAGCCCCTTATGTAGCAAATATCCACCTGCTCTGGACAGAGTCAAGTCCAGCAGCCAGCATCCTCCAGGGCTTACTGCAAAGATCAGGTTTATGGAGGGATCTGAACTGAGATCTACATAAGTTTGGATCAAGTGTGGCTCAACCAACCTGCAGCAATCAGAAAGGAAGAAGGGTTTCCATGATCTGTTTCTCCTTCAGGAGATCTGCAAATATTTGTGTTTCTTGTTACCAAACACATATTTAGTAGAAGGTGTAGTTACAACTTTCCCAGTATTCACCCTTAACCATCATATTTTGTCTCCCTTTCACCACCTTTCCAATATAAAATCTTCTTGCTATTTCTAAAAAGTCAAGAACAAACAAGCTGATTTACAAAACAAAACCGTTTTCCTCAACAATGTATATTTCTGTTATATTCACTTCAACACTCTCTCATATTTTTACCTTCACTCACCAAACACAGTTTACATGAGGGTAGCAAACAGTACAGAAACAGAACAGGGTAAGCATGAAGAAAAAGAGTGAGCAAGAGACACAGAAAAAAAACATGAACTTTCTTTCAAGCTATTTAACAAAGTAAGGGCTCTGGGAAGATAAACAGCACACTGATTCCATTCAAAAAGGTAGTTTTTCCTTTCAAAGCAACCACAGTCAAACCGAAGACAGCCAGGAATTTCTGTAGCAGGAAGACCTCTAGATACAGAAACACAGAGAACCAGGAAGAAAGACATTTTGATGAATGATCTTGAGAGCTTGAAGACCCACAGCAGAAGGCAGAGGTGAGCTTCCAAGCTGGTCCATTGACCGGGGAAGGAGGGTTCCCAGTTTGCAGACAGCAAGAGTTATCTTGTTATTTTGGATATTAGACTCTTTCATAGATACACAGTTGCCCTGTGCAACTGCTCTTGCAAAAGAGAAAGCTTTTCCGTGGAGCTCCCTGGGCACCCAATGGCAATTTTCATTATCATCTGGACAGAAACCAAAATTATGCAGGCTGGACCTTAGTTCAATATTGTATTAAGGTAAACACACTGGCATCATCCTGTGACAAACATTACATCATCCTTTTAGCTAGTAAAGTTGTTAATGTCTATATTTCACTAGGCAACAGGCTGAGTGAGTTTTGACCTTTCAAACTCACAGCTTTGCTATCTGAGGGCTCTACAAAGGCAGTCAGCCCACAGATGTGAGATGGGAAGGGTTCATGTTCACTTCACGTGGTATCCTGTATATCTATTATACATGCACAGGTACATACAGAAAGTTACACACAGAGGCCTGCTATAGAGAGGGACTCTATATACATAAAATGATTGTAAGTACTTGTCTCTCACACACATCCTCAATGTGTGTGAGTGCCAGAAACTAGACATGACATTCCAGACTGGAATGATGCAAGGAAAAAATATATTGCATTTATGGAAATCATTCATTTTCCTTGTCTGGGAACCTCTTGAATATAAATAATATTTTAATTTATAAATTTCAAAGCGCTGTCCTAAGAATGGCTATGAATCATTATCTTCATTTGACAGTGGGAGAAACAAGGAGCAGACTGTTTCAAGCCGCAGACTAAGGTCACATGGAGCAAATGAAGTCAAACCTCATCTCCTGAGCCCAACTTTCCCTTGAGACAGCACACCAGAGAACACACACAACTTTATCAGCACATACACTAACAGTATTGGCAACTCTGAGCCTTCACAGATCAGGACTGAGGTTTGAAATGATCAGCGGATTTGCTTTAAATGTGTAAGATTAAAACACCCAAATAAATACACTTGTGCTACTTCTATTCGCCTTCTGTTATCTGAGCCTTTGGAGTATGCTAAGGTAATGGTTTCCAGGTGTTTCCACCACCAAAAGACCCAGTCATCTTTCCTTTAAAAAAGGGAAGGGAGGGTACTAAACAAATGGCACTAAATACTGTAAATCAGACCTTGAGAGTTGCAATAAAAATGCAGATAGCATACTTCTGGCACATGCCAAAGACTGCTCTCTTTAGAAAATGATCCTCTACCCCAAAAAGCAGGTCTTACCTTCAGAGCAGCAGCAGTTCCCCGTGATGACTCTCACAGCTGGTAAACATCCATCATCACCTTGGACTGGGTCCTCCAGACATTTTTGAAGGAGCAGCAGCCCAAGGCAGAGCTCAGACAGCACTGTGGGACTTGTGGGTCTTTCTGAGCTGTTTGAATCCAGCAGCTCATGTAGCCAGAGCACAACAAATTAGAGCAGTGCACACACCACCTTTCCTTTGCAATCAGAATTGTTCTTCCCCCAGTATAAGCCTATTCCTCCTATTCAGGTTGGTAACATGGGACCAAAGCTGCCATGGCCACACAAAGTGGAGTTTTGGTCCAGCCTGAGCTCATTCCTCCTACTCGAATTTTCTGCTGGTTTAACTCTATGCAGTGAAGCTTTACATCAGATGCAGTTTATCTGTACCCTTCATGTTTCACACCAGCTGAAATTCACAACCCCAAAGCAGTGGTGTTCAGTTTAGGGCATTTTTTCCTCCTCTAAAGACCTGTCTTTTTCAAATGTCTCCAAATTATACAATTGCTAGGGGCACTGATAGTTGTTTTCCTTTTAACTCCGAGACACTATCTGTTTTTTTCAGCTCCTCTGTTGTTTTATCTCTTATTATCTTAAATCATTTTGAAAGCTATATCTTCCATTTAAAAGTCGTATCCCATTATCTAGGAGGGAATTTGAAAAGGTCGGTGTTAAAAGGAAACACAAGCTAAAACAACCCCAGCACTCGAGCCTTCAACACTAACTAACCCATGCAATATTGAAGGTTAATTAGGCTTTAAGGAAATGCACAGGCAATACATGTGGCATGCTACTGATAAAATGACACTGCTTACAGTAAATTAAATCATAGTAGAACCTCACTGAGGCACTAATCATGGGCAAAACACTGAAAAAAAATAATGTTTTCTCAGGTTGGAATCTCTTTAAATTACTAAACAGCAGAATTCAATGTAATCTGGTGTGTGGCCTTCAACAATTACAGTCTAGTTTTACTCAGTCTTAATGCATTTGAATATACATTGCAAAAATAACAGTTGTAGGTATATGGCAGCTCTGGAAATATCTGGGTGGTCTCTAAAGTGTGTGAATTAGGAGTGTGTTATTTAATACACTTTTTTACAGGGAACACAAGATATCTCAATGGTTTCTCCTTGCTTTGCCATGTCTGTTAGCAGTTAGGTATTGGAACAGACAGGATCTACTGAGGAGAAGCACATCTGGACATTCATAAAACTGAAATAAAGTTAAACATGTTATCCAGCTTTCATTTCTCTTTCAAAGTCATAAAATTGCATGCTGGTGCACACTTGCTGGAGTGTGAAAAATAAAGTATATGTTGTTACTGAATCTCATTTTTAGCAGAAAAACAATTGATTGTGTGCCCTGTACATTATATGGGCATGTAATATGCTATGTAATAAATAAATCAACCTGATGTGAGAACCTGGTTTTTGGTTTTCAGATAAGTAGTTGACAGACTCTGGGAAATGCAATTGCTCAGTTTTTTCATGCTGTAACCCTTGAAAATGTTACAAACACTTTCATAACTGTAAGCCTGAAGGCACAGCACCACAGAGAAACCATATTGCTAACACATGAATGGCCTTTAATGTCTGCAGAGCCCTCAATCAGCTCCATTATATTCCTCTCAAAGAATGACGTGAAATGCGTTTGACACTATCATTGCTTCATTAGCTAAAACTTCACTGAGGTTAGCCATATGTGATACAGCAGGAAATCCTCACCTTTAGGGGAAAACAGATCTCACCTATTTGACTTTGCTGCTTCTGAGAATTCAGAAACACAGACAAGTAAAATTCTCATGTTTGAAACATGCAGAAGAAGAACTCAAAAAATAAAGACTAGTTAGTTCTACAAACTTTGGTTTGATAGTGATATACAGTGAGAATGGAATTTGCCATGGTGGATATGCATTTGGATATGTCAAGACACATTCTTCTTGAGAACATGCTTGGGTGAAAGTCACAGATAATCCCAGGTACATAATCACAATGTGAACATGGTTCTGCAAAATGCATGATCAGAAGGAGCAAGCAACATGGACTCATCACAATTTTAATTTAAGCTTTTAAAGATTAGGCATAAAATGTCTCAAACCAGATAATGCTGCCTCCCATTTCAGTTGATCATTAAACTAGTCCATCTGTTTGGGGTTGTAGCCCTGCCTGACGTCCTCTGAATAGGATCCAATGCATAAATGACCACAGAGGCAGACCTGTCCGTATCGTGATTAAAACACACACACAGATATCTGTTTGGACTGTTACACAACACAAAAATTCATTTTCTTCCTTTGCATTCCTTTGAAACACATCCCTCTTTTAACCCAAACCTTTAAAAGGGTGTTTGTGTCACTGCAAAACTGAGGAAAACACTGGAAGTTGGAGCACGTCTTTTAACAGTTTCCAGGCAGCCTGTCTCAGCCCAGAGCAAAGGAGCATCTGGTAAAATGTTTTCCATCTCCTCGACTGTTCTTATCTCTACTTCTGTTTCTAAGGTCAGTAAAAACATACAGAAGTGATTATGCAGGAACTAGCTCTGAGGCATTATGCTATTTGTCAAAGTACTAACAGTGAATTCAGTACGTGTAAATCTCTTTGCCATGTGCAGTAGAGCTGTGCTCTGGAATACCAGTGGGATAGTGACAGGAGTCATTTCCTAGGCAGCTTATCTTTGGGGGAAGTTTGTGGTCAGTATAATAAGAAGCCCCAATTTTTAAGAACCCACAAGCTGCAAGGGACAGTCCCACTGGCCCCTTCTGCTAACAAGAACAGCTGAGTTACTTTGCATCTTTATCAGTGACCTGGAAGAAAACACGAAGTCCTTGCTGATAAAGGTGGCAGATGACACAGATTGGGGGTGAACAAAGAAGTGAGGTCGCCGATGCAGGGTGAGCTATTAATAAGCAAACAGCATATAAGCAATATACCCCAATATAAAGGTAAATGAAGCAATGACTGTAGGAGGTCATTATAGAATCAGGGACTCTATCCTACAAAGCAATGGCAGCCTTGTCATGGTGAATAGCCAAATGAGTACCAATCCCTGAGCAAATGCAGTGATCAAAAGACCAAGTCTCTAAGACAAGGCAGGAAATTCTTGGGATACAGAGGCCTAAGCGCATCTGTGAATCTTAACAACCTTGCAACCTCTCCTTGCGAAACCATTGTCCATTGGATGCGACTCCACTTGTGAGGAACTGCTGGGGAACAGAAATCTTGGTGGGGATCTAACTTGTACCTGTGTAGGTGAGCTGTACAGATGTGCCACATTCAGCCATGACCAGGACATGGTCTTTGCTGCATGCCTCGGTCTTGGTCCTGGGATCTCCAAAGGAAAATAGGGGCTGCCAGAATGTGGGTTCCCAGCAAGGAACACCAGCCTCCCATGCCATGGTGTCCCAGAGGCCACCATGTCGATGTGTGGAGCCAGTCAACAAGCTGAACAGCTTTAGCCCACCACTTCCCCCTGTATGTATCTCAGGGACAGTCTAGATGCAGCCACTTTGTTCCATCCCAGTGTCTGTAGTTTAGGAGGGTGTTAATAAGCTGTAAAGCAGAGTGAGTGTGGAAAGTTTGCCTTGTATAGTAAAAGGTTGACACTTTATCACAGAGAAAATGAAGGACTGGATTTGATCAGTCTGCAAGAACAGAGCTTTCCACTAGGCTGTGTGGTACAAAAGACGGAGGTGTAACACCACCCAGAAGCTGCAAGTTGAAACTTGGACAAGTTCAGACTAGTCAAAGTGCTGATGTTTGACTACTAGTAGAACCTCCCAAAGGTTTTGCTGGGTTCCCTGGCTGTGGCAAATTCAAAATCAAGATTAGGCTCCTTCTAGAAGAGGATCAGATGAATTAAGCACAATACCTCTGACCTCCTAGTCTGTAACTCCATGTAGTCCTGAGCTTTCTTTTTCCTCCCCACATTCCAGAAAATGTGACTGGGGGGGGGGGGGCACTTCCACAGGAGCATCAGACATGCTTTTGTTGACTTTCCTTACAAACTGGGTGTTTCAGAAGACACTCTCGGGCTATGCCAGGTGAGATGCCAAAGGAATTCACCTCCTGTATGATCTATATTTGCTGGGCATGATAAGGACTTAAGGCAGGCCTGGATGGAGAAAACAAGCTCTCCTCTTCCACCAAGCAGACCAGGAATAAATCTGGCACTTCCAACTTGAGCAAAGATTCTTCTCTTGCAATTCTTGTTTGCAGGACAGCTAGAAAGCAAAGATGCAACTACCTGAGGGCCCCTCTAGAATGGGAAGTATCATTTGGGGCTGGGGATCCAACAGAGGCTCACTTATTAAAATCAGCTGGGGATGGCAGTATATATAGGAATTTGGTTGTTGGTATATGAAGTTATAAATAGGCATTTGGAAAGCCTGGGAGCTCACACAGTTATTGCTTTTTATTTTAAAATGGTAATGTGGATTTCAAGCTCATGAAAGGCATGAGATTGGTGGTGAAGACCTGTCTAGCCACACATAGGATCAGCAAGAAATTCAGGTTCTTCCATCTCACTCAGCCTTGCCATGGAAGAAAGACCAGCTCCTGGGAAGTTTTGGTCTTTATGAACAATCTAGCCCCCAGGCCCTCTGATGGCCTATGCCAGCTCTGATGCCTGCTTCGTGATACAGACTGATGTGACCTGGAAACCTGAATGGTACTGGCCACTTATTTTTATTTCCTTATTTTCCTCCTTAATGTTTATGGAAAAAGAAAAGCTGTAGCACAAGAAAGAGAGCAGAGGTTGTCTACTGCTCACAATAACATATACAGGATCTCCCACCATGCTTTGAAGTTACTGTATCTTACTAGAATAGCTCAAAATGGGTACTGCGGCAAAACATGGCTCTTCAACAGTGCCTCTGTGCATCAGATGGTGAGATCATCACCTTAGGGTCAATGCTTTCTGAAGAATTTGACTTGTGTCTGCTTGACTCCTACCAGGTACACCCACTATTTGGTGTCCTCTCCCAGCCTAGAGCCCAAATGGTTACAGCCTGGCTATTTGCAGATTCATAGAATCACAGAATCACATAACGGTTTGTGGTAGGGACCTTGAAACTCATCCAGTTCCAACTCCTTGCCATGGGCAGGGACATCTTCCACTAGACCAGGCTACTCCACATCCTGTCCAACCTAGCCTTGAACAATGACAGGGATGGGGCATTCACCACTTCTTTTGCAACCTGTGCCAGTGCCTCAGCACCCTCACAGGGAAGAACTTCTGCCTTAGATCTAACCTGAACTTCCCCAGCTTCAGTTCGAACCCATCATCCCCTGTCCTAGTGCTACAGTCCCTGATGAAGAGCTCCTTTCCAGCATCCTTGTAGGCCCCTTCAGACACTGGAAGCTGCTCTGAGCTCTCCAATCAGCTTCTCCAGGCTGAACAGCCCCAATGCTCTCAGCCTGTCCCCACACAGGAGGTGCTCCAGACCCTGATCATCCTCGTGGCCTCCTCTGGACTTGCTCCAAGAGCTCCATGTCCTTCTTATGTTGGGGATACCAGCACTGCACACAGTGCTGCAAGTGGGGTCTCATGAGAACAGAGCAGAGAAGCAAAATATTTGACTTCTTACTGTGAAATCTGTTCATATTAATTCCAGGCAAGAGGAAAAAGCAATTTTGGGGGGGAAATATTTTGTATTTTATCTTTTACTTTAGCTTTTCTCTTTAGAAACCAACCTAAGTTGGTTTCTGGGCTGGATGAGTCAGATGGAGCTGACAACCATTAGTACTGCATTAAAAAACTGCAGTAAAAACAGAAAATAAAATACTTTTTGGAAACATCTGATTTAAGAACAAAACAAACCCACTAATTGGTTAGAAGCTGACAGAAATTATTAGCAATAAGCTCTTTCGCATAGAAATAGGCTTATTACCATCTTTTCCAAGCTAAATAATTCTATGATTCCATGAATTTGCAGCAGCTGGCATGAGCCTGGCATTGTTCCAGCAAACTGTACCCTGCAAATACCATCTTTCCACCTGATCCTAGGAAAAACACCAGCAAGACAGGCTTGTATTCTCTTCCTTATCCCTGAATAATATACTCCCATTGACCCCTTCAGGAGCTCTGTGCATGTGCATGTGTGTAAAGAGTATGGTCCAAAAAGGGAAAAATAAAGCAGTTTTGAATTTTCAGCTGGCAGACCTGTGAGCAAGGACTGCAGGCTGCTTTTAATTCAGGGGTAGAAGCATAGGACGATGTGTTTTGCTACATCACTGAAAGCCAGTAGAGGCCATCCGGGAAGGAAAGACTAAGCTAATCACAAATCACAGCCATATGAAGATCTCAGGTTGAATCAGATTTGTTAGAGGGCTTGGTTTGCCATTTTTCTTGGGTTTGTTTAGTTTTGGTTTGTTTTTCTTTTAAGTCAGCATAAAATTACCCTCTGCGTGATGCATAGCATAGTCTTCAGCTCCTGGGTCTGCCCACACTCACATCTCAAAGCACATTTGTGGTTTGCTGAGATCTAGTGTTGTCTGCTTGCTTTTTTTGACCAAGGACTTTTACATATGATTATACTCTAAAAGTGTGCCATAGATTACATGGTCCATAACCAGGTTACAAGGAGAGAACACAGGTCTGTGTTTAGGAAACCAGCTTTAACCCCAATAGGAACAGCTTCTAAACATTCAGCCTTTTTCATTAGTTACTTGGTTAAATGTAGGGACAGAGCCTGCAAATGTTAGGGATATTCACTTTGCTGGGGCAAAACAACCTGAAACACTTTGCAGGATTGAGGTTCAAGTATGGAAAGCAGAATGTTAACAACCTGGTGTTGTAATGTGAA